AGATTAGTTGATCGAAATAATTGGATTTTTTTAGGGTTCAGGCTAAAAAATCGCAGAACCCCGTTTCTATAATAGACAGGCATCGGTCATCCGTTGGGATGGGACGATATTGTAGCTCAAGATTGTGGCATAGAAGTACGGAGAAACCATGGCGCTTATGCATATTGTGTAGGATTGTGGTATGTGAGCATCGTATTGAAATGATTAAAAGATGCTGCACGATGAAGAGGCACGAAAGCGAAACAAAAGACTGTGGATGATGTTGTAGCGCAGTTATGTAAGGAAAAAATGAAAGGCAGAAAGAGTGAACACGAATAGGAGACAAAAAGATGTAAAAGAAAGATGACAAAAAAGGTTGATTAAAATATTTGGCGAGTAGATTCGAAGTGAAAATCCTGCTCACAGAATTCACGAAGATTCCGATGGAAAATGCAAGGCAAAGCTGGTACAGAAAGAAACATTGTGAAGAATGAAATCAGGGCTGAGACGGAAAAAGATGTGTAAAAGTGCGGCGAGACGCAGAAATGTGAAAATGCTATGCGACTTGGATACGTGAGGTATAGACACAAGTTGCTAAGGGAAGTTGGCCCAGCAGATGCAAACGGGGGATTCGGGGCAAAAATGTGCTGAGCCGGAGCGGAGCGAAGATGCTGTGCAAATAAGCGACGTCTTCAGGTCAGGTCGAATGAAAAAGTTCGCCTTCCTTTTCGACCCCATAGTAAAGGGTTAGTACCAATGCGCATGTAATATGCCGACCCAACTTGATGGTCGGCTCGGACAGGCGTAAAAAACATGTTGTCATTGTGCCAAAATGAACCGAGTGAAACTTTGCGTTCCGCCTCTCTCTTGCCAGCTGATGCCGGCTCTCGCTCTCCTCCAGTTTTACGCCAACTCAGCCTACATGAAAATCGTAAAGAGACGCTTCTCTGACATAGTGTTTGTGTGCATGAGTCTTCGGTACCTCCCTCAGGCATGTGGTCAGACTGTCGCGCTCGGTTGAGCTTGTTACATTTACACGATCCACCAACTTATCTTATTTCACAACCTGACTGCCCGAAGACCGCCCAACCTTAGACCCATCCATCAGGCCTAATCTGGAGTATCTGAGCCTATGGAATCTGAATGCTTTTGTGCGTTGGTGTAGTCAGGCTCGGGACGCGAAACGAGAGGAGTAGAAATCGTGAATGGAACAAGTAAGGGAAGTGGACTGTCGCAATTTGGGAAGTATCATTGACTCCGAAGGTTATACCTTCCGGCAGATGCCAAGTCTGCGAACGGACTGTAGAGATCTGCAAACAATGCTCCAAGTCAAGTCGCGCCAATCGGGTCCTGTGACACTGTGGCTGAAGCGAGACATGCTGTGCCGACTCAAGCGAATTAAAAGAGACAACCAGTGCAGCACTAAAGAATGTACCGATGTGGTGGATAACGCTGCAGTTGAATCATTTCTACTAGAATCCTCTGTTTATGCCGGACGCTTTGTGCAGCCGCATCTGGTCTCCTGGTACCGGCAAAATTTCACTCTGCCATGAGGCATAGAAGTTTGATTTAGAACAGATTGCATAGAAATCTTCTGCGGGACTCGAGCTCAGGACGTGCGAGTCCGCAGATAGAAGCATTTTTGCCAGATCCAATATGGCGAGACAATTCATTAAGGTCTCTGTTTACCCCAGGCCACGTAAGGTCATGAATGACTGACATGAGTAGGCCTCATGTGACAGTTGAATTTCACTTAGCCCTGCTTCCAAAAAGGAATTCCCTCCAGATTGGACTGGACTACCATTCCGACATCGCTTGGGTCTCATCTGCAGCCCAGCGGGACTCGAACTCGACTAGTGAAGCCACACTGTCGCAGATGCCATTAGGTCGCAAGGCGGATGTGAATCTCAAATAAGGAAGAACCTTCCCATATCATATTTTATAGTGGGATCGTCGATGAGGCAAACTTATGTGTCCATAAGAATAAACTATGCTACTTATAAGTATAGTAAGTAGGTTGCCACTCCATCAGCAAATCGTGAGTTTGTGTTAAAAGTCAAGTATGCTCTGTGTCTCACTGGAGCACGTATAAAGCACTCCAAAAGTTCGATTCCGACTGAGGGATCTGAGAAGATCAGGATGAGGTTGAGACTGTTGTTCAGCATGGATAATAATAACTTTTTGCAAGCAAGGCAAAGTGACATCTAATGGCCCACTGATAAAATTGCGGGAAATTCAATTATTACTCCTTCCACGCCTTTATAGAAGTCAGTATAGGCATATTCCACAGCTCGCAGTAATTATTAAATAAGAACCAATCCAACTTTGAGAGTAAACATGAACAATGTTTACTTATGAACTTTCAATCTTAGAAAAGATCTATTCCTGATTGTAAGTCATTCTGCAAAGAAAAGATGGGTTTCGAGGAATCTCTTATTTCATAATTGTTCAGCTTACTTCAATTTTGAGTGAAAGTGTTGGGTGAAGAGATTCGAAGGTCGTTTCCACCAGAAAACGACTGTAGATTCCTCTTGACCAGCTGTCGATTGGCTTTACTGGAAGATTCATGCTGACGCTGTTTCCGAGGAAATCTCCTTCGATTCCGGTGAAAAGAGGCTGATCTATCGTTCGTCATATGACGAACATCATTAGAGCAAGGTATCATCGTCATTTGTCGAATAAAACGACAACTCGATCCAACATAAAAGCGACCAGATGAACACATTATCCTGTAACAACCCGATCTGGATAATGGGTCAACTTTCTCTCTAAAAAAGGGAAATAGGGGTCATCAAACCTTGATGGCCAAAAACAGACGTTCTTTTTTGCTGTCCTAATTACTTTTAGCCATCACTTCGGATTCCGTGCATAAGCGAACACAAACAGGCACATACAAATACAGAGACAGACACACTCACAGGCATCGAAGTTGAAATATGACCTAAACTAACCAAATCACTTTATACTTGATAGATGTAGAGATATACCACTTTTTAGGGATTTGCCGGTGAGTTTTTTTGACTCGTTAGCTTGAATTTTGTTGTGACGATGATACTTTGCTCTGATGATGTCCATCATATGACGGACGAAGGTTTAACACCTTTTCACCGGAATCGAAGGAGATTGCCTCGGAAACAGCGTCATCATGAATCTTCCAGTAGAGCCAATCGACAACTGGTCAAGAGGAATCCGCCGTCGTTTTCTGGTGGAACCGACCTTCGAATCTCTTCACCCAACACTTTAACTCGAAATGGAACTATGTTCAACAACTAAGTCATTGTGCCAAAAATTCCTGGATTTGTCTGAATTGAATCAGCAGCATCATCATTTACTCCATTTAAGTTGATAATACGAAATCACTAAGCTCATGTCGGTTAGCCCAGATAGAAACTAGTACAATGACAAGAGAGGATATAAAAGCCGTTAATTCACTTTATGAATACGACTTCAGCCTAATCATAAAATGTGGATTTTGTATGAAAGTGCTTTGGACTGCTTGGCTTATATAAAGTGCTATTCCTACTTGTGGCCTGCACCTCATCGACTCAAAGACTGTGTCACAGGCCTGTTTGGAGCAGAAAACTTCTGGACTTTGCAGACAGTAAATGAAGCAGGGGGGAGAGAGAATTAATCCTGTGAATGGATGTGGACAAATAATTGTCGTAATTCTCCGCTAAAATATTAACCTCTATAAATATATTTATACATTTCAGTCACGAAGGTTCCCATCGGAGGCTGTATCAGGTAGAAGCAACCGGTATTAAATAATAATGTGCTTTTTGAGACCAAAAGAATGCACTCAAGCTACCGCATAGCTTGCAAGCGACAGCTGAGCCGGTTCACACTCTTCTGGATAGTGAGAAGGATTCTCGCCAGAGAGGCCTGAGATAAGGAGCAGTGCTTTAAGAGTTAGGGAACGTCCAAGTTTATCTGCCTATTGCAAGTTGCACACTCAAATTTAGTAAAGAAATACAGGCCCTGATCGAAACGACAATCAAAGTACTCAAAATCTGGGGCAATCCAGTATCAAGTGGTTGTCATCATCCACATGTCGGGTCTGAACTCATTTTCATACTTTAGCCAGCCCGTTGCTTGAGTTGAAGTTACTATGTAGCGCATACAATCACAATTATGGTCCTATGCAGAAAATAGTGAAGATAGATTTAAGCCTGTATGACCGAATGTGAATTTAAGGGACAATAGTCATGTTGGATTGAGGGATAGAGAGATTTAAAGCCCCCTGAGATAAACATTTTAGTTTTATGAAAAAAGACGAAATGAAATTTTGCTGACGTTCTTGACAAAGGGCTTAATATATCATATTTTTCGTATTTGAGTAGAGTTTCGAGACTACCAGTAAATCAGTC